ATTGTATTTAGAGGTGGAAAATACCTTGTTTTGTCTAATCATCTTATTTACAGATTAGGAAACTAAGACCCAGATTTTTCCAAGGTCACACAGGTAGTAAGAGGTAGAACTGGGAATCCAGGTCGGGTCTTCTGACAGCCTTATCAAAAAATGTACATTAATATAAATGTATATATCAATATGTGTGTACATACATATAGTATGTGTGTATATGTGTATATATGTATGTGGCTGCTAGCCCTGTTGCAATTCTTGACCCATCAATCCTCAGTCATGCTTAAGTCACCTGAAAATTGGCTTTCTCAGGTTTAACTTGTGCCCTCAATACCATCCTCCCCATTTCTTCCATGGCCTTGCCTATCAATGAATCCAATCTTCCCTCCTCTACTGGCTCTTTCCATTCTGACTGTTTATAAACATGCTCATGTCTCTCCTACCACATACTTCTCAATCCAGTGACATTGGCCTCCTGGCTATTCCACAAAAACAACACTCCATTTCCCTGGTCCCTACATTTTCTTTGGATGTCCTCCATGCCTAGAATGCTCTTTCTCCTCATTCTACCTATTGACTTCCCTGGTTTCCTTTAAGTCACATTTAAAATTCCATCTTTTACACGAAGCCTTTCCTAACCACTTAATTTTAGCACCTTTCCTCTGTTAATTATTTCCTACTTATTCTGTATATAATTTGCTTTATATATATTTATAAACATGTTGTATCTCTCATTATATTGTGACCTCTTTGAAAGCAGGGACTGTCTTTTGACTGCTTTTGCCTCCTCAGAGCCTAGTATAATTCCTAGATAATAATAGGTGCTTAATAAATATCTATTGATTGACAAGTTCATGGCTTTATAATCTCTATGTAAATGGCTTTAAAAGCTATATATCTAGCCTTAATCTCACCTCTGAGCACCAGTAGAGTAATTCCTTTGACTCAGAATCATGAATCTGGTTCAAATCCTGGCTTTGCTACATGTGACTTTTATAACTATATATAAATCAATTAATTCTCTGTTCTGGTTTCTTATCTGTAAAATGGGGAGGTTGGAATATATTGTCCTCTAAAGTCCCATCCAACTCGTTTGTATAATGAAGATCCTGGCTTCTTGGAGCACCCACTTTAGCTTTGGTTTAATACTATCAACTCATTTGTGTAGCAGGATAGAGTAGTCTAGTCTGGCAAAGGAGAGAATAGTTGTGGTGAATTATAAATTATTCATTCTGAGCAGTTGAAGTATTCAGAATTCTCTAATATCAACTCAAATAGAGGTATCCTGCATTTAGTGAGTGTCAGGCAATCTGTTATATGCTATAAATGTAAATACTTCAAGCTAAAAATGAGAAAGATGTTCCAAGAGGCCTAAATTCTCAAAGACATTCATTGTACAAAGTTTTACACACATTCATGAGCTGAACTCATGACCACAGAAAACAAATAGCAATAATATAATTTCACTTTGTGTCAAATGATCAAGGAAAGGGTTAGGTAGTTTATATCTATGGAACATATTTATGGCAGGTATTTTGGAGACATTACTCCTATGATACAAATTAGAAAATAGAATGAACATTTAGAACAAAATACAATGTTTTATACTTATGAGAGTCTGAAATAGGCCTTTCCCTTTTAGAGTCTGATTAATGCATTATGAAGAAGTTAAAAATGACCCAAAAGTATGAGGAATATAATGGAGAGATAGCAGGGGTGCTATGTGGTTTTGGGTAGTAAGTCTCATAATCCCTCTGAGCCTGTTTCCTCAACTGTAAAATGGAGATGCTGATGTTTATATAAAGTGGCAGAGTGCGATTCATACCCAGTTCTTTCAGAGTCCAAGTTTGGTCCCTATACAAAATTAACTTTTGAATTGAAACAGTTAAAGCCAACCCACCTTAGAAGAAGCTATAAAGTAAAAACTTTGTAAGGGTCAAAAACTCCTAACACATAGAGCACAACAACGAGTATCATTGGTACACTAGCATGTGCCAGATCCCCATCTGCCCACAAGCTGCCTTTGCCCGGTTCTTGAGGTTTGGAGGCATCAACTTAATGCATCTCTACTTACAAAACTTCCCCAACACTGGTATGGTACAAGTAGGAATATAAATACCTCCTTCTCAAAACACAAATGGATCTGTGGCCTCATCCTATCCTCTTTGCATAAAAGGACATTGAAATGCAGAGAACATCTGAGATGTACACATGGTAAGTCAACAGAAGGACCAAGAAAACGGCAACAGGAATTTCAAATTTTCAGTCCTTTGCTCAGAAGATTGGGTTGAGTACCCAGTTCCAGTAGAACAGATAATGGGTATATAATAAGTTTTATTAGTCAGTCAGCTTAAGAAGCTAAAGATTCTTTACTTCTCATTTGTATTTAAAAAAATATATTGATGAATGATCATCTAACAAAATCGAATCACTCATCTGTGTTCCAAGATAGCATTAGTTATTTCTGAACAGGACCACTCCAGTGTAAACTCCTTGGGGCCCAGTACTGTTTCTGGTTTCATTTTTGCCAGTGCATGGCAGTGTGCCTTTCACACGGTAGGCACTTAATAAATGCTAGTTGCATTGGATTAAGCCAGGACTTGAGAAAATTGGGTAGTAGGAAAGTTTGTTTTCGGTATCCCTCATTCTCCCTTTCAATGCTTGCTTTCTTCTTTTTAGCACTCTTTGTTGCCAAGGTGCCTCATAACTTCTCCTACCTTGACCTAATGGTGTTCTGAAGCACTATGGCTTCAGACCTGGACTTCTGATCCAGGTCAGCACCTACCCCGTCTTCTTTCACTCCTCCACCCCATGAGAACTTGTCTTACCTGAATCCCATTCCCTCACAACTTTACCGTCTTGCTAATTTACAAATAGATATTACTGGTGATGAAGCATTATTTGTCATGTCTCTCAGATAACGTATTTGCATTTTAACTGGGCCTTTCAATGTCTTGACCCAAGGGGTAACAAATGTGGCAATTTTATGTACTAGTGGTGAAGATTTATTTGGAGTACTTAGCAGGCAGCTATCTATTCCACCTATGTATAAAGTCAGCCCTGTTGCTGAATTAAATCTTTAATGACTCACACTAAAATACAACAATCAATGGAAACTGCTTCAGGTGTCAGGGGCCCAAATCTGGGCTACTAGCAATAAAGTAAAGGCAAAGCATTTTCATTAAGTGGCATTGCCCTGTGATTGCTGAATATTGCGGATGTGCCTAAGCTCTCTGTCCCCAGTATCATTTTGAAGCCTTCACAGCATTATCTCATGATGCTCCTTGAAGGCTGGCAACATAATTCAGTCATTGTGTGTAATAGAAACCAAAAAGAGTTGAAAACCAAGGGCTTACTGTGGTGGCAAATGATTTCATGGATACCAGATATGACTATTCTCACAGAAAGGAACTCACATCCATTTGTGATCCCAAGCCTCATGGAGCTACCTAGATCACGAGAGGGACTGCACTAAAGGAGACCCACATTCTCTCTACAGCTGGCTCACTCTCCTCTTGGCCTTCTCGACCACCTCACCAATCTGTTCTACCTCCACCTGCTGGCTGGTGCTCTGGGGATAACTCAACCCTGAGGCCCACTGCACATGACTGAACACTCCATGTACCAACTCTGAGCATTTTCATTGGTTGTCTCCCAGGTCTGGAACACTCTCTTCTCTCTCCTCATCACTAACATTTGGCCCCTGTAGCTTCCTTCAAGTCTCAGCTAAAATCCTGCCGTATGCAAAAGGCCCCTTCAAGTCTCCCTTAATGCTAGTGCCTTCCCTCTAATTATTTCTAAATTAGCGTGTATATATCTTGTTTCTACATAGTTGCTTGCATGACCAATTCATTATACTATGAGCCCCTTAAAGGCAGGGGCTGCTTTTTGCCTTACTTTATATCTCCAGCTCTTAGTATGGTACCTGGCACACAGCAGGTAATTAATATATGCTGGCTTATTTGACTTTGAAGTAGATACCATCTTATTTTCTCATTTTTGTATCCCCAGTACTCAATACCGGTCCCTGCCACATAGTAAAAATTTAGTAAATTCAGTTCCTCTCTCTCTCTCTCTCTCTCTCTCTCTCTCTCTCTCTCTCTCTCTCTCTCTCTCTCTCTCTCTCTCTCTCTCTCTCTCTCTCTCTCTTTGTCTCTGTCTCTTCCTCTTCCTCCCTCCCTTTCCTCCCCCTCCCTCTCCCTTTCTCCCTCCCTCCCTGAGCAGACCAATCAGAGATCCTATGCCTTAGGGAACTCCAGGTACTAAAAGGCTTGTACTTCCCAGAATTCAAAGGTTGAGAGGCTATCTTTTGGGTGTACCATGTTCTGAGTGAGATATGACTCAGGCCAGTTTCCTGTTAGTTTAAGTGGAAAGTGGAATGAGATGAGATAGGTCATTCAACAATTACAAAAAGGAGATTTTCTTAGCTATTGTAGGAGAGGGATATTCAATAAGGATATATAATCAGGGCATCATGAGTTGATTCAGATGAACAAAGCTCCCCTTGCCCTAAGTTGCCCATGATGGTTTTCCAGCCAAGTATTAAAGGCTGGCCATTTTGTACTAAGGTAACTAGGAAATGATGTCAACAGTCCTACTCTTTCAGCCTCTGAACCAATAAAGTTTTGAAGATGGTTTCTACAATTTTTGAGGGAAAACTAGCCTAATTTGCTTGGGTAGAGAAAGTAGAATACTGTTCCGACCATATACCTCATCCTTTTATCAAATGCAAACTTTTTACATAATTTGCACTTTATATTTTAAAGTATTAGAAAGAAGGTAGAGAATATAATTTTATAAAGCAGCTGGAAAGGAATTAAAGTGGGATAGCAGCAGAAGGCAAAGGGATTTATTATTCACTCAAGAATGATAAAGGACAAATTCTTTTCTAGAGGGCAGGATACAAACTGTAAATAGAATAACATTATAGGATTACAGGATCATAGGATTTAGAGCTAAAAGGGACCTTGTATTCCTATATATCAATGATTTCTAATTATCCTCACCTTGGTTCAGCTGCCCCATCCCAAGGCCAGCCCTGAGACTTTCTTCTGAGGTAATTATGGTATAGCCATGATGTGTGAGTATGTGCTGATAAAGCTGAAGTTCCATTTGGCTGTAGGAAGAAGGCACATAGAGCACTGCCCTTCTCTCATGGCTTCCAAAATGCTTTGCAATAGACTCTTTAATCTGAGAAGAGAAGTGAGAGTCAGACATTAAAATTAAGGAGGAAAAAAAATCTTGAACTTCAATTGAGATACTCTAAGCAAAATCATTTAACCTCTTAGGAACTCAGTTTCCTCATCTGTAAAATGGATGCAGGGTTGGACTAAATAGGCTCTGAGATCCCTATTAGCTCTAAATCAATGATCCTAAAGGTTAATTAATGCACTAACACAGCATGGTAATACCCCACTTTTATTTGCATAGTGTTGCAATAGTCCTAGTGGCCAAAATTCCAAAGGCAAATTAACATCAACAATTAAGAAAGATAATCATTTTAGATAACTAAGAAGTTGGAGCATTGCTGTTGTGATTTTGAGATTGACCATCTTCTTTAAAATAAAAATTTAAAAAAAAAAAGAATTCTCAGGTGATATAAACTCATGCAGCTAAAGTTTACTGCCTAAGGGTGAGATTTTGAAGGCCCCGAAGAAATCTATCTCTCCCCTACCCCTGCTGCTTGAAATTACTTTAATAAGAGGTTTAACCTTTTATTCCATAATTAGAGATAAAGCGTAAGATTTTTTAAAAAATACCTCTTTTGTATACCCAAACACTCACAAAGTTAACTTATCAGCTCCTTTATCTTTTCCTATGGGGTCTAAGTGTAAAAAACTGGAGTGGCAGTGGTTGGGGGAAGAGATAAAAGAAAACCTTTTTTACCTTCTTCTTTCTCTCAATGTGCCAAACATGATTTACTTTCCCTGGTGTTATTAATAGTAAAACTCTCAGAAAAACTCCAGGATTGCTTATGGGACAAGTAAGAAAGAAGTTATGAGGTTTTGTTTTGTTTTGTTTTAAATTGCAGTGACCAGAGAAGGAGAGAAACCAAGTAGGAAAATAATCCCTGGGGTGGAAAGAAACATAAACATCAGTGCCCCTTAGCTTGAGAATCATCCCTAGGATTTAACCCCTACCTTTGTCTCCTGTACTTAGATCCTTTTTCTCCCCGGCTTCAACCCCACATCCTCAGAAGTCCAACCCCCATACCAGAACAGTCCGTGCTGATATTTAGAACTGGCTGGGTCCCATCTGTCTTAATACAGACTTTGGAAGGTTCCACACAAAGCCCCATATGAGGAAACCTGAAGCACATGATGAAACAGTAAAGTAAGCCAGCTTAATTAAGGGGAGAAGGACCACAGGATGGTACCCCTTCAGGGTCCTAGACCGAGTTGGGCCCCTCCTGGGGTCCCAAACTAGGGTATCGTTTCCGGGACCAGTAAAGAATTGTGGTTTCCACCCCACCCAGACCAGCACCCCCATTCCCCTTATATGAGCCTAGCAGGACTAGGAATTAGAATAGAGGAGGGGACTGCTTCTAATACATGCTTGTGGCAGGGGAGAGGAAGTGTTCCAGGGCAATTGAGGGCTAGGTGATATTTAAACTTACTGGGAAAAGGGACTTTGGAACTTTACTGCTGGTCTTAACCCCCACTGGGTGGGTGACTCAACTTCCCTACCAGGAGTTCTTGAGCTTCCCCAAGGCTTCTTCATTTAGAAGGGCCAGGAGGCACCAGAAAGGAAAGTTAGGAGTGTGGAGGGGGAAGAAAGTCCTCAATTCTGGGAGTAAGTGAGTGGAGCAAAGAAGGATAAAGCAGATAAAGGGACATGCTCCTGGTGTCCCAAGTGGGAATACTGAAGTTATTTTTCCATGTTAAACTGTCCAGTGTGGTAATTATATGGTCTAGAGTAAGGGTGACCTCTCTAGTAGCCAATGGACATCTCAGAATTTTTTTAAAATTCATAACTGAAAGAAATGCTGAATTTCAGTTAGAGTTTAGCATATATAAAGATATATATACATATATATATATATATATATATATATGTATATATTTTTTGCTATCCAAATTCATGGACCCTAAGTAAAGAACCCCAATCTATTGTATTCTTTGTAAAGTACTCCAGTAATATTATGGCTTAAATAGGCTTTTGTGGGCTGGCCTGGGAAGATAACCACCATGTATATCAATATTTCTATGGGAAAATACTTTTAGACTCCCGCACCCCCCCCAAGGAAAAAAAAACTAACTTAAAAATAAACTTTTGGACTAAGATCCATTTGTAAGTTGGGCACTAGCTGTATTTAGTTGAAACACTTTAAGTCTCCAAAGTAAGAAAATGCTCACTAGAAAATGTGCTATGTGCCTTTCATGATGAATGCTAACATGAATTCTTAAGAAGGAACATTTGAAACCTGATCGAAAGGTGAGCCTTTAAATGCTAAAGCTGATTAGTGAGTGATCCATCGGACTGCTCCCCAGAGGGCCAAAACAAACAAACGAAAGATTTCCCTTCCCAGTTCCCACTTTCACGACTCTGGGGGGGGGAGAGAGAGAGGAGAGGAGAGGAGAGGAGAGGAGAGGAGAGGAGAGGAGAGGAGAGGGGAGGGGAGGGGAGGGAGGGGAGGGAGGGGAGGGGAGGGGAGGGGAGGGAGGGGAGGGAGGGAGGGGAGGGGAGGGGAGGGGAGAGAGAGAGAGAGAGAGAGAGAGAGAGAGAGAGAGAGAGAGGAGAGAGAGAGAGAGAGAGAGAGAAGGCAGATGTTTTGCAGTAAATAAATGCCACTCAAGCTACAATGAATAGTGTTTATAGGTCTCCTAAGTGTTCACATCATCTTCATTCTTAATCACAGGATGCAATTTTCTGTAAATATTGGCTGGAGTATAAGACTTATTTTGGTAGTGGTATTTTAGCCCTGATTCATTACTAATGTGCTGCTTTTATTTTAGAGACATCTTTCCTCTTCCTCCTTTCAACTTGCACCAGTGTAGTCAGAGATAATGACATATTTACCCCTACCTCTCATTTTCAAGCATATCCTAAATAAAGTATATTTTTCAGTTGTATTTTTTTGTCGTTGTTGTTAGAATCTTTGGGAACTAGGCTAAACAAACACAGAACCGTATCATATCTAAATCCAATCCAGCAGAAGAATAAATAGGAAATGAATAGGTCAGTGGAATTATGTTATGTTATCCTGTAATTCAAACTGCCCTGTCCTTGTAACATTTATAACACTCTGTGCCAGCAGAAATGGTCCAACAGCAAGACTCACAGACCTTGAGCTTCTGCTTTAGCCAGTTGGCCAACAGGTGCAGTTCTCAAATATGCCAAATGAAAGCCTGGGGAGCAAAGAGGCCAACTGTCCCAGTACCAACTACCAATCAGATCACTTCATGCAAATAAGATCTTCTGCCTTGTTCCATCTTTTTTGAAGACTATCTGTAAACTGAAGAATAAATTTTGTTTTGAAACCACAATAAAAACAACTCCAAACTTCCTACTGTGTTGACCAACCATTGAAGAAATAGTGTCTCTGAGTCTTACCACAGATGTTTAAAAAGTCACTTCAATTTTTTTTTGCTCTTTTGAAAAATTGAGATGAACATGTTTGGAGATCATGTTGTTCTCCTTGTGGGAAGCTATGTACTGTAATCTTAAGATTTTTATTAGAAGAAATTTTAAATATTAATATCCACTTATCCTTTCAAAAATAACTGCCTGAATTGTGAAAGTTAAATATGTGGACTATTTGTTAATATTATTATAGTCCTGTACGTATCTACGCTCAGTACTCTCCTCTGAATTTAACGTATTTAAAGATTTAATTTAAAACATTATTTAAAAGCATATTTTTGCCATTTTACCTCTTTGGTCTCAGAAATACTTCTGTGTGAGATTAAATATGAAAACATTGCATATTTGCATTAAATGATCAATATATTTCAGTGAAATCATAAACATTAGAGGTGAAAACAAAAATGGAAATCACTCATACAACAAAAGCCATGGAAGTAAATTTAAAACAGTGGATGAAGAATATCATAAAAGTATGGCTGTTCTCGTAGGATTTAAAAAGTCTTTTTGCTAGTCTCATTTCAAGACTATGAAATATAGCTCTTTTTAGTAATAGCAGGGCTGAAAAATACAACTTTTTTTCATCACGTTGACAGAGGGACTTTTTTCAGTGTCTATTAAATAGCTACATACATATTTGTATTTATGCCACTCTCTGATGTTGAAACACAAATCATCTAGTCCATCTAAAACACCATCCTATAACTAAAATCAGCCCTACCTTCCTAGTTGGTAGTTTCCAGGCATTTCAGAAACACTGCCTGTGCCAGCATGCTGTCTTCCTGTTTTTACACTTGAGAACCAAAATAGAGCTTTTCCCATTGTTGATATTGACCTTTTAAATGCCTTTATTTCTGCAAAAGCAAAATTTAAAAATAAATTTGAGAAAGGTTGACTGAGTGCTGAGCCACTTAAAATCATGTGTAGCTTGAAGACTCCCAGCCCCAAGGTTTCTGGATGAGACCCCATATTTTCCTTCTTAGAATCACAAAGTATCCTTAAGATGTGCCACAGTGATCCATGATATCAAACAACTTCTTGGCCACTTGGTAGGCAAACTGTGACCTAGCATGGACATAATTCAGATAGAGTGGGACTTTACATTGGTTTGAAGGACATCCCTTGAGTACAGGTGAGAATTAGGGTACATTATGAAGAGATCCCAGTCTATTCCAACATTTGTTATATTAGTTTAGAAAGATCCTAAGTGTCTAACTTGGAGGTGACCCCTATTTGACCCAGGACCCTATATATATACACATATATGTAATTATTTCAATATAATTGGTTTCCTTTATAATTTTATGTGTTTTATTTTATGCATTTAAAAACATTATTTTGAGATGAGAGGGGTCATAAGTTTCACCAGACTGAAAAAGGGGTATATGACACAAATAAAGGTTAGGAACCACTGATTGATTTCATATTCGAAGAAACTCTTTTCCCCAAACTTAAAGAATGATCTAGCTCCTGATTGGCCTACTGTGCTATTATCAATCAACAAACACTTATTAAGTACTTCCTGTGTGCCAGTTACTGTGTTAGTTACTGGAAATACAAATACAAAAATGAAACAATCCTTGTCCTCAAGTAATTTACAGTCTACT